GGTAGTTCCACGATCTTTATGAGGTTCCCCGCACTACGAGGAAGAATGTGCATCTCTTTACTTTAACCGTACTGCCAATATCTTGAAACTGATTTCAAGAGAATTTCGTGTTAAAAGAAAAAAAGAAAAAAAAAAAGATCGACGTCTTTTCGTTCGATACTCCTTTTTTTTCGAGAACGATCCTTGAATTTTAATTTCGCGTGACGTTAGATCACGACGACCCACTAATGGCCCAACGAAAATGTCCCTCCTGACGGCATAACGCAACGTGAAACAGTAGGCGGTCCGGGTAATGCGTCTTGCCACCCTCGGACAGAAAAGCCCGACCACCGTCATCAATCAGGCTCGCATCGCACCAACTTATGTAGTATTTATTTTCATTAAATATTAGTCACTCACACTACCAGGCTACGTTTCTTTCTTTCCTCGAAGAATATTATATTTTCTCTTTCTCTCTCTCTTTGAAAATTAATCGGGAAGAATTAACAACGAGGCCGTAAATATCGACGAAATAAACAAATCGTATGTAATATTAAATAATAAATTCGACATTGATTGAAATCGAAATTCAATATTACCTTCGTGAAGATATATTACAATTTTTAATTAAGTTGAAATCTCGAAACAAGAATATCATATACCTATAACGAATATTCAAACTTCCTGACATACTTCTCTATAATGAATATAGAGAATACAAAAACATTTTCAATAATCAATTGTTATTTCGTTTTAACCGCTGCGTCTCGATTTCTAATTAATTTTCCATTAATTTCGTTGATTTTCAACTGATCTAGAGAAAAACTTAGATGGCAAACTTAAAATGATTTTGTTCTTAAAGACGCATCTGTACCGTCTGACTACTGGTTATCTGTTTCTACTTGCCGTACGCGACACGGAATCGGAAAATTCGTGATACAATTCTTATCGCGATCGAATGGAAAAGATTCATCACGAAACGTACGAGAGGACGCACGACGAGTGATAAATTAAGTTTTCATCCGTGAAATCGGTTTATCCCTCGGACGGATCGTCTCAATAAGTCTCGAAAGAAAAACGTTATCTCGCTTCGAGGCGATTCCAAGCATTTTTCCGCGAAGCGAGTCGAACTATTCTTCAATGGCGTGCTGAAAGCTACTTCTATATATCTTAGGGTCTTGGGCAGATCCCGCCGCTTGCCTTGATGGCAAGCTCAATTTATATCAGCGTCCGTTGAAACCCCCTTTACGAGGTCTCGCCGCCTCTTCCACCTCTTAAACCTCACCCTAACCTCAGCTCACCCCTGACTCGGCCGGCCGAACCTTGCTCCTTGCCACCTTTGGAACCCCCTGAGACCTCGAAAACTCTTTCCTCGGGTTAAACTAAGCTATTCGCGATCGTGAGCCGAAGAAATTCAAAAAAAAAAGAAAGAAAAGAAATCCCGCTTTCCAACGTTTAAAGATCTTTAATTAAAATATTCCTTTTTATCCGGTGACGATATCATATTTGTATCAATAAAGATTCAATTTACGAGGGTCGACTTCTCCAACCAACTTTTCGCTTCGCTCGTGAATTCGCACAGTCTACACGATGAATCCCAAACAAGGGTAATCGTTTATGCAAATTCCTCTGTCAACTTGGTAGGCGGCCGGACTGTCGGATAGGGAAAAGGTAAATGTCCGTGGATAAAAAGCATAATTAACAACATATAGGAATATCGTAACGAATTTCGATGCTCGTTTCTTCAACCCACTTTCGTATATTCGAAAAATTCGAAACGAAAGAAAAATACGTAATGGAAGTTTTCTCTGAATGCTAAACGCGTACGATGATTTTGATCGAATCTTTTCAATCGTTCGTTCGATCTCGGCCATCATCAGCAATCGATGCTGGTTATTAGAAAGCGTTTACGTTCATTTTCTAACCTCGACGTGATTCCAGGTGTTTCCTTGTGAACAGCTGGCGTAGCGCACGCGCCTCCGCAACGGTGATGCGGTGATTGATCAATTTTTAAAAAGCAATGTTCTTAATTGACCCACCGTCCCGTCTCGAACTGAGGCATTATGCTCACGAAAGATATGAGTGAAGCTTATAAACCTTAGTCATCGAAAGGTGTGTTCTACGATTCGATCCATCCAGTTACCTTGTCAGAGCCAGACCCTTTGCCATTCGTCGCTCTCTCCATGTGTTCCAACAATCGATCGTTCGATTTTTGTTAATATTTCTACACACGTTCATATTTTTTTTTTT